CATTCCCTCACCCGGAAGTCCCTGAGGCGTGATTCAGGGACAAAAGAAAAATCAGAGGTTGAGAGAGCTCAACTTGTCCCTTAAGAAACCAGATGAAAAAACCATGGAAATGTGGCATGAGGGGCTCAAACATCCAGAATGTAAAATAGGGACATACAGTAAGTGATATTATTTTTCCTTTCAGTTTGATGTGCCCAACCATCTCTAGGCTGTTTTTCTCCTGGAAATAAATCGAGGGAGAACAGATAAGTTGCCATATATAATCGTATTCCCTTCAGTTCCTACAAGAATATAGTCCATGCTTGTTTTTCAAGAAATAATTGTAATTTTTCACACTCTTCCATACAGGCTTCATGGAGAATTCTGTGCTGATTCCTTCAGCAGGCCTCTTGCAGAAATAGTCAGCAAAAATCAGAGCTTGAGAGGGTTACATTTGTCCTTCCGCAACTCAGATGACAGAGCAGTGCAAATGCTGTGTGAGGGGCTCAAACATCCAGACTGTAAACTAGAGGAACTATCGTAAGTGAGCAGTATTTGTTTTTCAGTTGGATGTGTGTTACTTTCTCTTGAGTGTTTCTGTTCTGGAAACACAGCCATGGAAAGACAGTCCCAATTGCGATATAAAGCCATATTCTCTTCAGTTCCTACAAGAATGCAGTCCATGCTTGTTTTTCAAGAAGTAATTGTAATTCTTTGCACTCTTCCCTACAGGCTTGATGAAATACTCCTGACCGGAACCTCTGACATGCATTTTGCAGAGGTACTCAGCAAAAATCAGAGCTTGAGAGGGTTACATTTGTCCTTCCGCAACTCAGATGACAGAGCTGTGGAAATGATGTTTGACGGGCTGAAACATCCAGACTGTAAAGTGGAGATACTATTGTGAGTGAGCAGTGTTTGTTTTTCAGTTGAATGTGTGTTACTTTCTCTTGAGTGTTTCTGTTCTGGAAACATATCCGTGGAAAGACAGTTCCACTTGCGATATAAAGCCATATTCTCTTCACTTCCTACAAGAATGCAGTGTATGTTTGTTTTTCAAGAAATAATTGTCATTTTTTGCACTCTTCCCTACAGTCTTGAGGGACAATTCCTTTCTGAATACTGCACCAGGTGTCTTGCAGAAATACTCAGGAAAAATTGGAGATGCAGAATGTGTGAATTTTCCTTCATGAACTCATATGACAGAGCTGTGGAAGTGCTGCATGAAGAAGTGAAACATCCAGACTGTAAAGTAGAGATACTATTGTGAGTGAGCAGTGTTTGCTTTTCAGCTTCATGTGTGCTACTTTCTCTTGAGTGTTTCTGTTCTGGAAACATATCCGTGGAAGGGCAGTTCCACTTGTGATACATAGCCATATTCTCTTCTTTTCCTGCAAGAATACAATCCATGCTTGTTTTTGAAGAAATAATTGTAATTTTTTGCACTCTTCCCTACAGGCTTGATACAATATTTCTGACTGAATCCTGCAGCACACCTTTTCCACTTTCTGGAAACACAGCCATGGAAATACAGTTCCACTTGCAATGTATAGCCATATTTTCTTCAGTGCTTGTTTTTCAAGAAATAATTGTAATATTTCACACTCTGCCCCATAGGCTTGATGGAGAATTCCATGGTGAATCCAGCAGCAGGCATTTTGCAGAAGTACTCAGCAAAAACCAGAGACTGAGACAGTTAAAATTGTACATTGAGGACGCAAATGAAAGAGCAGTGGAAATACTGTGTGAGGGCCTGAAACATCCAGACTGTAACGTTGAGAAACTGATGTGAGTGAACAGTGTTTATTTTTCAATTGGATGTGTGTTACTTTCTCTTGAGTGTTTCTGTTCTGGAAATATATCCATGGAAAGACAGTTTCACTTGTGATATATAGCCGTATTCTCTTCAATTCCTACAAGAATACAATCCATGCTTGTTTTTCAAGAAATAATTGTAATATTTCACACTCTTCCGCACAGCCTTGGTGGACAATTACTCACTGTATCCTGCAGCAGACATTTTGCAGAAGTACTCGGCAAAAATCAGAGACTGAGAGACTTAGAATTGTCCTTCTACGAAGCAAATGAAAGAGCAGTGGAACTGCTGTGTGAGGGGCTGAAACATCCAGACTGTAAAGTAGAGAAACTATCGTGAGTGAGCAGTACTTGTTTTTCAGTTAGATGTGTGTTACTTTCTCTTGAGTATTTCTGTTCTGGAAACACAGCCATGGAAAGACAGCTCCACTTGTGATATACAGCCATATTCTCTTCAGTTCCTACAAGAATACAGTCCATGCTTGCTTTTGAAGAAATAATTGTAATTCTTTGCACTCTTCCCCACAGGCTTGGTGGAGAATTCCATGGTGAATCTGGCAGCAGGCATTTTGCAGAAGTACTCAGCAAAAACCAGAGATTGAGACAGTTAATATTGTCCTTCTACAATGCAAATGAAAGAGCAGTGGAAATACTGTGTGAGGGCCTGAAACATCCAGACTGTAAAGTTGAGAAACTGACGTGAGTGAGCAGTGTTTACTTTTCAATTGGATGTGTGTTACTTTCTCTTGAGTGTTTCTGTTCTGAAAACACAGCCATGGAAAGACCATTCCATTTGCGATATGTAGCCATATTCTCTTCAGTTCCTACGAGAATACAGTCCATGCTTGTTTTTCAAGAAATAATTGTAATTCTTTGCACTCTTCCCCACAGGCTTGGTGGAGAATTCCATGGTGAATCTGGCAGCAGGCATTTTGCAGAAGTACTCGGCAAAAATCAGAGACTGAGAGACTTAGAATTGTCCTTCTACGAAGCAAATGAAAGAGCAGTGGAAATCCTGTGTGAGGGGCTGAAACATCCAGACTGTAAAGTTGAGAAACTGACGTGAGTGAGCAGTGTTTACTTTTCAGTTAGATGTGTGTTACTTTCTCTTGAGTATTTCTGTTCTGGAAACACAGCCATGGAAAGACAGCTCCACTTGTGATATACAGTATATCCATATTCTCTTCAGTTCCTACAAGAATACAGTCCATGCTTGTTTTTCAAGAAATAATTGTAATTCTTTGCACTCTTCCCTACAGGCTTGATGAAATACTCCTGACCGGAACCTGTGGCAGGCATTTTGCAGAGGTACTCAGCAAAAATCAGAGCGTGAGAGACTTAAAATTGTCCCTCTATAACTCAGATGACAAAGCAGTGGAAATGCTGTGTGAGGGGCTGAAACATCCAGATTGTAAAGTAGAGAAACTATGGTGAGTGAACAGTGTTTGTTTTTCAGTTTCATTTGTGTTACTTTCTCTTGAGTGTTTCTGTTCTGGAAACACAGCCATGGAAAGACAGTTCCATTTGTGATATACAGCCATATTCTGTTCAATTCCTACAAGAATACAGTCCATGCTTGTTTTTCAAGAAATAAATGTAATTTTTTGCACTCTTCCCTACAGGCTTGATGAAATACTCCTGACCGGAACCTGTGGCAGGCATTTTGCAGAGGTACTCAGCAAAAATCAGAGCGTGAGAGACTTAAAATTGTCCCTCTATAACTCAGATGACAAAGCAGTGGAAATGCTGTGTGAGGGGCTGAAACATCCAGATTGTAAAGTA